CGGGTCTCGAACCCGCGGGCTCAGGCAATCCAGTCACCTCAGCCTCCCAAAGGTGCGGGATTACAGGCTGAGCCACCCAGCCCGGCTCAACAGGCATTCTCTTAAGGTACAAAATGCCTTTCTTAATCATAAGCATGTTTATAAAATCCATTCTTTTGATAATTCAGAAATTAACAATCAATACCTGTATTAAGATATTTTAAAATTATAATCTAACAACTTAATACTTACTCAAAGTAACTGATGGCATATTCATATTCTCATAGAAAAAATTAGGATTATACATTTCATCCTAAACAGTAAAAAAAAAAAAAAAAGTAGATTAGCACTGTAACATTTGTCACAATGATTTATAAAATTAGGCAAGTCCCACCCCACCCTACAAATAAGAGCTATTATTTCAAGTCAGAGAATCTCACAATATAACTTCCAAATAGCGTGAATTTATTAGTAGATGAACTGCATGATTTACTTATAATATAGTAAACATATAGTACCTCTTCTTCTTTGGTATACCCCATTTTCCTCAATCTACAAGATGGCATGTGCTTTGCCAAAGACGATTTAGGCATGTGATGATTGGAATCATAAGGACATATCACGACTTCCTCCTATAAAAATATCAAACAAAAACAAAGTATGTAATATTTAAATAAATAATTATATAATTAAATGTTTATTATTTAATTAAGTCTCAGTACTATCTAGTACCTCTTCTTCTGCAGGTCTCTCTCAACTCTCATGCAGGTGTGTACTTAAAAAAAAAAATTATTTCAGCCCCAATCCCCTTAAAGCCTCTGTCTCCACACCTTCAAAGCCTAATTCTCTGAAAGATCAGTTTACACTCACTGTCTCAACAACCTCACTTATAACCATTCTTTACTCACTGCCACTGTCACCCACTGAAACCAGTCATTAGTAGCTAACAACCTTGCTACTAAAGCCAAAGAACATGTCATTATCCTAGTAATATTTGAACTTTTGGAAGGTCACATTCCAATTACCCATTTCTGTCATCCTGGTATATCCTTCATGTTCTTTCTACCTCTTTAACTCCTTCTGCAACATGGTCTTCCCTAAAGGTCTGTCTTCCTTGCTCTACTTGTCCCTGTTTAAATGTTGACGTTACATATAGATCTAACCAGTGATCCTTTGCTATTCAATATATGCTTACTGGAAGATCTCATGGCTTCAATTCTCACTATACAGTGATGACTCCCAAAATTTAGATCTTTAGACTTCATTTCTTTTGAGTACCTATACTAAAGACACTAAAAGTTCAACATGAACAGAAATAAATTCATTATATTTATGGTTTCCTAACTCTCAAATCTGTTCCTCTTGTGCTTTCTTATTTCAGTGAAAGGTCCCACTTGCTCAAGCAAGAAACAACCTCTTCATATTCAATCAATCACTTTGTCCTATCAATTTTACTCCTAAATATTTCTGAAATCCTGCCACATACCCCATCTCCACTGTCATTTCCCCAATTCAAGGTATTATCATTTGTCTTCAATTACATCAGCCATCTCTGGACTGTGTGCGTGCTCACGCACTGCACTTACGCACTTTCTCTCTCTCTCCTTAGTCTTGCTGCCCTCCATTTCATTCTCCACACTGTAGCTAGTTTGAATTCCAGCTCTTCCTCTTACTGGCTACATGAAATTGGTCTAGGTATTTAAACTCCCTTTGCCCTAGTTTACTCATCTATAACATGAAAATAATAATAGGACATTTCTCATAAAGTTACAGCAGAGGTTAAATAAATTATATATAAGTTGACACAAAATAATTCGAACAGGGCCTGGTACATGGAAGGTGTTCAATAAATGTAAGCAATTGTTATTTTATTTTATTTTATTTTATTTTTTTTGAGTTGGAGTCTCACTCTGTTGCTCAGACTGGAGTGCAGTGGCC